GCAGTTGTGTTCACTAGAGGAAGACAGAATTGCTCAAGACAGAGGTGATTGACAACGATGTTGTAGCTTGAAAATTGCAGCTATGAGGAGAGATTGGACAGGCTATGGTAGTTTTTGCTCAGAACAGAGAAGGCTGAGGGGTGACTTAATTGAGAGGTACAAAATAATGAGGAACTGGTGAAGAGGTCAAGTTACGTGAGGCAGGGGGGCACTGATTGATAGGTGGGATCGGTGGGGGGGGGAAGGTGGGGAGGGAAGGAGGAAAAGTACTGCACCCTCAGAGGTGGTGGGTCTCTGGAATTCGTCGACAAAAACAGGAATTGCTGGAGAAACTCAACAGGGCTGGCAGCATCTGTGGAGAGAAAAGGCAGAGGGAACGTTTCAGGTCCACTGACCCTTCCTTCAGTGTCCTAAAGAGGATCACTGGATCCGAAACATTAATTCTGCTTTCTCTCTCTCCATGGTTGCTGCCAGACCTGCTGAGTTTCTCCAGCGATTCCCATTTCCGATTTCCGGTTGTTTCCTGGATTTCGCTGCCAGGTCTGGTTGTTGAGGTAGGCTATCTTGAAAAGCAATTTGGATCTATCCAATGGGGTTCTGAAAGCGGTGGACCAGGTGCTGGAAAGTTGGGGTTAGAATGGGCAGCGAGTCCACACAGACACAATGGGCTAAACAATCCAAATCTCCATTGCAATCTTCCAGAGGTGGTGAAGCAGGAGGTACCTCTGTGGAAATGCGTTGGTGATGGCGAGTTCTCAATCGCACCCCGACGGGTGAATGGATCTCGTCCGAGGATGTGCCAGAGATCTGGTCACTCTCATTGTCCAAACCCATCTTCACAGTCTCATGGACGATACCTGCAGGAACGATCAAACCCGATGAGTTGTTGTGAGATCGCTCAGACCTGTGGGTGTAGAAGTTGAGATGTCATGTTGAGGTTGTACAGGATGATGTTGGTAAGGCCAACTGTTGCAGTACTGTGTACAGTTCTGTTATAGGAAGGGTATTATTAAATTGGAGAGGGTCCGGAAAAAATTTACAAGGATGTTACTGAGTTTTAAGGAAAGGCCGGATATGCTGAGACTTTTTCCTCTGGAGCGTAGCAGGCTGAGGGGTGATCTTATAGAGGTTTATAAAGTCAGGAGGGGCATAGATCAGGAGAATAGCAAAGGTCTTTTCTCTAGGATAGGGGAGTCCAAAACTATTGGGCTAAGGTGAGAGGGAAAAGATTTAAAAGGGACCTGAGGGGCAACTTTTTCACACAGAGGTGGTTCATATATGGTATCAGCTGCCAGAGGAAGTGGTAGAGGCAGGTACAGTTGCAACATTTAAAAGATGTTTGGACAGGAACATAGATAGGAAAGGTTTAATAAAGGCAAATGGGACTAGTTTAGTTTGGGGAAATTGGTCGGTATGGATGAGTTGGGCCAAAGGGTCTGCTTCCGAGCTGTATTACCCTATGAGATCAATACAAGGCCACACACACACACACACACACACACACACACAGAGACAGAGAGAACACGAGTGAGCTTAACAGTGTGAATGAGCTGTAAAAAACCAACCTCTCCACAACATGATGTGTCTGTTGGTGTTAACACCAGACCAATCTCCAGTGTTAGCTCCCAACCCAGCCTGAGGAAAAGTACCCCCAAAATATTCAGATTTCTATTGAAGCAGGTGAAGGGGCAAAATGGCCGTCAGGAGTTTAATGTGGGCCTTGAGGTGCTCAGAAGGCGTGGTCTTGGGCTGTATTATGTCAGTATGGGTTGTATGGTGGGAGGGGAATTGGGGGCTGGAAATGACAACACACTGAGGCAAGGTGGGGTTGCAGTGACACAGATCGCACACACCACATTCACTCCCACCTTGGCACCCTACACCGTCAGAACGTCACTGTGAACTGTCAGTGCCAGCCATGAAAGTGGGCATCGCCATCAATAGGGGCTTACATCACAGGTTCCTCAGAACTGAGTGGGGGGGGCGTCTGGCCTGTGCCAGGATGGTCATGTCCTGTTTCCTACTCTCCTCTGCAGGTTGGCAACCTGTCACCAATGGGGTTCCACAGGGATCAGTGCTGGAAACACAACTGTTTACAATATACATGGATGTCTTGGAGGGAGGAAGTGAATGTGCTGCAGACGAATTTGCCAATGACACTGCAGTAGGTGGAGAAACTGGCTGCGAGGGGAATACAAACAGCTTACACCGGCATAATGATAGCCCGAGTCAGTGGGTAAAAAATTGGCAAATGGAGGAAAATGCAAAGCTGTTCATTTTGGAAGGGAGAACGAAAGAGCAGTGAATTATTCAAATGGAGGAAAGCTGCATAAAGCTGCCACACAAACGGGCTCAGCGTTACCTGAGCACAAAACACAGAAAGCTAACGTACAGAACGCAGCAGGTAATCAAGAAGGCCAACAGAATGTTTGCCTTTATGTTAACGGGGATTGGGGTATAAGAGTAGGGAAGTCTTATTGAAAGTGTACAAGGTGCTGGTGAGACCACATCTGGAGCACTGTCAGCAGTTTTGGTCCCTTTATTTAAGGAAGAATGTTATTTCATTGCAGACAGCACAGAGAAGGTTCATTCGGATGATCCCTGGTATAGAGGGTTTGTCTTATGAGCAAAGGCTAAACAGGCTGGGACTCTACTCACTGGAGTTTAGAAGAATGAGAGGTAATCTCATTGAAACATACAGGATTCTGAAGGGGTTTGACAGGGTAAATGCTGGGAGGATGTTTCCCCCCATTGGGAAAATTTAGGAGCAGAGGGTGTAGTCTCAGAATAAAGGGGCACCAATTCAAGACTGAGATGGGGAGGAATTTCTTCACTCAGAGGATTGAGAGTCTTTGTAACTCCTAACCACTGAGAGCTGTGGGGGCAGAGTCCTTGTATCTATTTAAGGCTGAGATTGATAGATTCTTGATCAGTCGGGGGATCGAGGGTTACGGGGAAAGGGCAGGAAGGTGGACGTGATCAGCCATGATCCTTTTGAATGGTGGAGCAGGCTCGAGGGGCAGTTCCTACTTCTTATGGTCTTTCCAATGTACCAAGACCCAATTGTGAATGGTGAATAGGGATGTTACAGGATTTCAAATTGACAGTGTGTGAATCAGGAGCAGGCCTAGGCCCCATTCAGCCTGCTCCCACACAATACGATCACAGCTGATCTGAATTCCAGTCTCCTGATTGTGCTCCCCTCATAACCCCTCAACTCCCTCATCAATTGATCATCTGCCTTTCTCAGTATTCAACCTCCATTGCTCTCTTGGGAAAGGACTCCCAAATATCAATGGCCTTTGGAGACAAGACATCCCTCCTCCCTTCCAGCTTAAAACCTAGATCTCCTGTTTTTAAACTACATACCTGAAATATTGTGTGCAGTTTTGGTATCCTTTTCTGAGGAAGGATGCTCTTGTTCTCGAGGTAGTGCAGCAAAGTTTTACCAGGCTGATTCCAAGGATGGCAAGTCTGATGTATGAGGAGAGATTGACTAGGCTGGGATTGTTTTCGCTAGAGTTCAGATGAATGAGGGGGTATCTCATAGACAGTTATAAAATTCCAACAGGACTGGACAGGACTGGACAGGGTAGATGCAGGTAGGATGTTCCCGATAGTGGGTGTGTCCAGAACCAGGGGTCACAGTACGAGGATTCGGGGTAGACCATTTAGGATGGAAGTGAGGACACGTGTCTTCACCCAAAAATGGTGAGCCTGTGGAATTCATTACCACAGGAAGTAGTTGATGCCAAAACATTGAATGTATTCAAGAGGTGACTAGATATAGCACTTGGGGCAAATGGGATCAAAAGTTATGGGGAGAAAGCAGGATTAAGCTATTGAGTTGGATGATCAGCCATGATCATGGCGGATGGCAGAGCAGGCTCAAAGGGCCAAATGGCCTCCTCCTGCTCCTATCTTCCGTGTTCCTATGTATCCCCTAGTTCCCATCTGTGTGCAAGGGGATACCTCCTTTCACCATATTACCATGTCAAATCCTCTCAGGATCTTGTCTATTCCAATACAATCACCTCTCATTCTTCTGAACTCCAATGAGTACAGGCCTAACCCTTCCTCAAAATAAGACCCTTTCATCCCTTGGATCAGTCAAGTGAAGCTGCTCTGAACTTCTTCCAATGCTGGTGAAACCCCCTCAAATAAGGATATCGAAAAAACATACAGTACTTACTCCAGCTGTGGGCCCGCCAATGCCCTTGTACAATTGTAGCAAGACCTTTTAGACTCCATCCTGCTTGCAATAAAGGCCAGTGTTACATTTGCCTTCCTAATTACTTCCTGTGCCTGTGTGCTAACTTCTGACAACCCTTGTACTAGACCACCCAGATCTCTCTGCGCTGCAGCATTCTGCAATCTCCCTCCATTCAAATAAATATTCTGCTTTTCTATTCTACCTTCCAAAGGGGAAAAGTTCACAATTTTCCACATTATACTGTATCTCCCTTTTTTAAATCACTATCCCTTTGCACCCTCTCTGTATCCTCCACATACCATGCTTTCCTGCCTATCTTCATCTCATCAATGAGTTTACCTACAAAACAGCGGGTCCCTGCATACAAGTCATAGAGTCACAATTTTTTTTTACAGCACAGAAACAGGCCCTTTGGCCCATTGTGTCCTTACTGGGGTCATCATATATCCATTTATTCTAATCCCATTCTCCAGCACTTGGCCCACAGCCCTGTATGCCTTGGTATCACAAGTGAACATCTAAATAATTCTTCAATGTTATGAGGGTTTCTGCCTCTACCACACTGACGGGCAGTGAGTTCCAGATTCCCGCCACCCTCTGGGTTTTTCCTCACATCTCGTCTAAACCTCCTGCCCATTACCTTAAATCTATGTCCCTCTGATAAGGGGGAACTTTCCTCCCCTTCTAACCTAAATCTGCCTTCTAAAACTGTACACTTCACTCTGGTCCTCCCTTAGCCCTCTGAAGAAAACAACCTGAGCTTATACATTACTCAGAGATAGCAAGAACTGCTGACGCTGGAGTCAGAGGTAACACAGTGTGGAACTGGAGGAGCACAGCAGGCCAGGCAGCATCAGTGGAGCAGGAAAGTTGAAGAGGGGTCTCAACCTGAAACATCAACTTTCCTGCTCCTCTGATACTGCCTGGCTTGCGATGTTCCTCCAGCTCCATAGCATGTTACCTCTGAGCTTATACAACTTCTCTTCATATGCACTCCATTCCAGGTCATACCCTGGTGAATCACCTCTGCACCCCCTCTAGTGCAATCACATCCTTCCTACAGCGTAGTGACCACAGTTGCACACAGTACTCCAGCTGTGGGATAACAAACATCATATATTGCTGTTTGAGTTACAAAACCTGGAGTTCGAGAGACTTACTGTCTGTTTTTGAATTCTTGTATTATATATTATACTCTATTGTATTGTATGTTTATATCATATTATCTTATATTCTATTTTCTCATTCTTCCTAAATGCTTGGTCATCCTTTGTTGATTTCTGCAATGTTTCCAATCTTTTGTGCTTCCTCTATCTCTCGCAGCACTTTCCGTCTTTCCTTTCAATCAGAACAGAATTCCTGTCATTTATTATATGACATTTTGAAAAAGTAGGCCGCGAGGAAAGGCAGATGGGTGGACTCTTACCAATTTTTATAGATGCACCATAGAAAACATCCTACCTGGAAATATCACAACATAGTGTGGCAACTGCTCTTCCCAAGACCTTAAGAAACTACAGAGAGTCGTGAACACAGCCCAGTCCATCACTAAAAAACTAGCCTTCCTTCCATTGACTCTGTCTGTACTTCTCACTACCTCAGGAAGGCAACGAACATAATCAAAGACCCTTCTCACCCAGTTGT